CACACACACACACACACACACACACACACACACACACTGCCAACTACCAGCAAGGGACCACGGCCCCAGAGAGGGTCCCTGGGGGTGAGCTGTAGGGGACCTTCCCCTATAGCAGCTTGCTTGGCCCTTTCTATGGGGGTGGCCCTCAAAGTCCTTCTTCAAGGGTTTTCAGTTTGGTGCCTCCATGGCACTTAAGCCTTGACCTAACCCCCTGTCCACCTTGCTCTCTCCCACTTCTGCCCCTTCTAGAGCCTTCCGCCGGTGGGTGGGCCCACCTGTGTCCACGTCAGTGTAGCGGCCCAGGGAGCGCTCGGAGACCCGGTGGCCCCGGTCTTGGTCTCGGCGTCGCTGGTGGTGTCTCTGGTTCTCATCAGGTGGCACCCGCTCCAGGGAATAGTCATCCAGGCGGCGGGCCTTGGGGCCCAGCACAGAGGCCGAGCGCTTCATGGGGCTGGTGTCTGAGATCGTCTGGGGGGTAGGGGAGGGGGTGAGGACAGGCCAGGGCTGTGGGTCAGGCAGTGAGCCATTCCCTCCTGCCTTCCCATGGTCCCTTGACCCAGGCAGTGGTCGGAGTGACCATCTGGCATAGGGTCCAGGTACTGAGGCCCTCAGGATCTGGTGTGCCCATCCCAGGAGGTCTGGCCCCAAAGACAAGGGCTTTTCCACAGTGCTTCGTGGGTTCTGGTCAGGAGGTCTGAACCTCCTCATGCCTTGCCCTCCACCCCCCACGCCCCCCAGCTCAAGGAGGCCCCTCCAGGGACAGGTTCGATGGTAAGAGGCCATCTTTTGGGTGCTCCCCATCCTGGTGCCCACCTGGCAGTCCCTACATGGGACAGCCGTGTCCCCCATGTTAGTCCCCTGCACCCCAGTTCTCTCCTTCTAGGCTGGCTTGTTCTCCCACTACCCAAGTGTAGGGAGCCCCTGAGGGGCCACCCTTACACTTGAGGCCCAGGGACTGTGTCTCATCTTTGGCTTGCACCCATGGGCTCGTCTCTTAACCCACAAGGGGGGCCCTGCATGGAGAAGGCCCCTGAGCCTCTGCATAGGCAGAGGGAGGAGGAAGACGGGGTGACATCCCTAGGTCTTGGCCCAGCTGAGCTGCTGGTGGTGGCATTGCCCAAGGAGGAGCTTGAAGGGCCACCTGGCCAGAGGGGAGAAGGGATGAGGCTCTGAGAAAGAGGGCCAGGGTGGGCTGGCAGGCCAGGCCTCTCAGCAGAGCTGGTCCCCCTCCCAGCTTGGGACTCTGAAGGGGATGGGAGGCCCACCCTGCAGGGTACACAGAGGACACAACACATGAGGGTGGGACTCCACAGAGGGGGTGTGTCTGCAAAGAGAGGGTGGGGTCTGAGGGAGGGGGTTGAGATGACGGGACTCCCACAAGGGGGGGTGGAAGAAAGAGGGGGCCGTTGGCCAGCAGGGCAGTAGGCGGTGGGTACATACACTGAGGTTATTCCCACGTGGCCGGCCCCTTCTCCTCTGTCACAGCCCCACGGGATGGTGCACACAGAAAAAACAGAAAGAAGAAAATAAATATAAAAGCCCGGAGGAGTGGGGAGTCAGAAGGTGGCTGCGGGGAGCTGGCACAGGAGGGGACAGGGACCTGAGGGGGCGGAGATGGGAGAGAGGAGAGAGAGATTAGTGTGCTGCTGGTGGTGGTGGGGTGCCTCTGGGTTGGGCTGGCCGGGCGACCCTCCCATGGGCACATGGCAGCTGAGTTCAGAGGAGACAGAAGACAGACAGACAGACAGATGGCAGAGGCACGAGACCAACAGATGGGCTCCAGTTGGCACTTGCTCAGCCCCTCCTCAGGCCCAGCAGCTCAGCTGGGGCAGCTGGCCCGGGGGCCACATGCAGGCGGGGTGCTCAGGTTCACAACAGCCAGAGGCCAGGCCCTTGGGGACTCTGGCCCCCCAGAACAGCACAGCTATCCTTCCCCCCAACATGTCGTGCAGGGACGCCACGGCACACCACGAAGGAAGCTCACCCCAGCCAGACATGCCTCCCAGCCTGCCCCTAGGCCTCAGCCCTCCACCCTGCTCTCAAAGCTTGGGGTGCAGGGGTATTAGTGGTCGGGTCACCTGCTCTCTGGCCAGGTGGGCAGCCAGCCATGCTTCTGGCAGCTCTGGCCCAGGATCTGGGGCAGACGGATCACCAGGCCCCCAGCCTCTTGTCCTGCCCTCCCGCACCTGCAGCTGGTGAAGCAGCCACATGTACATGTATCAGGCACACACCCTTGCCCCTCCAGCAGACCTCACAGAGACCAGACAGGAAATACGAACCCCAGCTGTCCACAGGCCCACCCCAGACTCTGCCCTTTACCCTTCCTGTCCCTGACTTGAAAGGCTGTCCAATTCCCTGAGCAGATCCACACGTGTGTGTCTACATGTGCCTGTGTGTGCTTATGTGCATGCGTGCATGCCTATGTGTGTATATGTGTGCATGCTCGTCTGAGTGCATGTATGTGCGCATGTGTGTCCTGGTGTGGGCATGTGTGTGTGTCTGCGCACATGCGTGGGTGCGTCGTGCACTTGTAGAGAGTCTCCTCAGCAGGGTTCACCCAGGGCTGAGTAATTATCCTCTACGCTGCCCTCTAGAACTGGACCCCAAACCCCAACGCACCTACTCAGCCGTGACCCCACCTTTCCCCAGCCCATGGGCACCCCTCTGCTCCCAGGTTCAGGCCTCCATCGGGCGGGGCTTTGAGGGGGAGGCCTTCAGTGCTCCAGGTGTGGCGGGCAGGGCCTGCCCTGGGCTGGGGTCGGTAAAAGCCCTCACCTGGTTCTCGGCAGGGAGGCGGGGCATGGAGGCGGCCCGGGCCTGGCCCTCCATGGGGAGGTAGTGCTCACTGTCCGAATAGCCGTCTCTGCCCATCTCTCGCATCTCCACAGACTGTCGGCAGATGGAGGCGGTGAGCCCCAGGGCGCGCTGGGCTGGCTGGGGGGCGGGGAAGGAGGGGGGGCGTGGGTGGGGAGGGGAAGAGGCACCTGAGAGTTGGGCTGGCTATTGGGCATGTCCGTTGGCGGTCCCCGCTCCGGCATCCACGTGCTAGTCTTCTGGAACATCTCCTGGGCCCGCTGGGTCACCCAGGACGGGCTTTCCTTGAGACCCCCGTCATGAGCCATGCTAAGGGGAAGGGGACAGAGGGAAGATGGCCGTGGGCTTCCGGGGGCTCCCCCACCCC